CCGGAATGGCCTCTGTGTAGGTGATCCCGCGGCAGACTTCCGTCAAAGCAATTAGCTTTCGATCCAACCTGGGAATGCAACATACATTTTAAATCAATAAAAAACTAAATAAACTAAACGCTATAGTCCAAACTTGCACACTGATAATATTATCAACAGGCGTGTTGTCGAGAGTTGGCCGGGTATGCGCGAAGTTTTGATCTAAACTTGAAAAAGTCTGATAGCTATGTCAAATTCTTCCCTTGTATCTCGGAAAAAACGAAAATCCAATTCCAACTTTCTAGAGCTCCTTTCAACAATTTTCTCAATACCTTCGTACTGGTGTTTTGGGCACCGAGTGATTTTCCCTGTAAGGGAAGGACTAGCCACAATTTTGACACAGTTTTGAGTCACAATACAGCAAATTCCCCGTCATAGGACCCCTTCAGTTAACTAGTTTTTACAATCGACACAAGCAAAAAAATCTACTGGCACAAAATAAACACTAAAAAATCCCAGCTGAGAATAGAATGTTTTCACCCATATGCTTGCGCTCGGCATTCTGTTAGTGCGGAGGATATGGCCGGGTTGTTTAAGTTGGTTAATGCTAACCCAGGAAGGAACTCACGTTGTCAAGGATTCTCTGGTCTTTCTGAAGCTCTCAGTGCCAGGTGGAAGAAACTCACTCTGCACATTTTTCTTATTCTTGTCCTTTTTTCGGTCAGCAGATAATTCTGTCATCAAACGAACTGCTTGCACCTGCCATAGCTTCAACAAGAATAATGACAACAAAATCAACAATGACGAATTTCTACTTCAAGTTTTAAAACATTGCCAAAAGGACAGGTGATGAAAATATAGAAAATCATGAACTGGAGCATCGTCTCAAGATATGTAACAGTAATTTCTCAAAACTAACATTTCAAGAAATGTAAGGCAATAAGTAAAGAGGATAAATACTTTGAATATTCTTATTCTAGCCTGCATAGCGACTGATCCCGTTCGAACGAAAGTCTGGCCACCCTTCCCTCTGTCCAGTTTTGGCTCTCGCCTTAATTTTCGCGCGACCAACAGGCGAGAAGCTCTTCGCTCGTCAAGGAACTTTTGCTACGCAGAGTATCTTATTCTAACTTGAGACAGTCACGGCATAGATACACAATAGGTGCCGGAAATTGCCTGCTGCACTTTGGCCACACTACAAGTCCGACCATTTTGAACAAATTTTTGTGAAAATGCACACGAGAGTCACTTGTAGGCTACGCTTGCTCTTCATAATGTGAGAACAACTCTTCTCAAACTCATTAATAATTCATCAAGTTTAAACAAGGGAAATCACGACCA